TGATTTTTTGTTTTTTTGGTTGATATTGTTGTTTGCTTTTTACCATAGGACTAGTAAGAGCTTATGCTATCGTAATATCCCTTAGACTCTGAGAAGAAAATATATTTGTCCAAAGTCGACTTTTCCCATAGGAAGTCTATTAACATTATGAGTTTGACAAACACAAATCTATAAGATAGAATTCAGAGTTTTTCAGTCTTTGCTCTTGTCCCTTTCTGGATTTCACCCTTCTCCTTGCCATGCTGTGCCCATCTTCTAGAATGCCTTTCCCTCCAGATTCCCCTTCTCGCCTTTCTCCCCAGGCTGGGCTCACATCCGGTATAAATCTTGCATAAACCCACTCTAACTCCCCTGGCAAAATTACTCCCTCTTCCAAACTCCAATTGTACTTTGAATATAGACCATATCACCTTGTTGCGATTATTGATTTGTAAGTATAACTCTTAAAGTTTGTATGAACACAAAGCCATTTTTTTTAATAAAGTAGTAGTATACGTTTTCAACATTTTCTTTATAATAGCCTTTAAACAAGTAAAGTGTGTATACAATTAATTACTTAACTGTGCTAATGGTAATAATAACCACTCAAATAATTCTGTTCAAATGAAAAATGGGCTTGGAATTATACCTGCTTTTGAATTCTGTCCTATTACTTACTAGCTATGTGGCTTTAAACAAGTTCATTCTGCAAGCTTCAGTTTTTTCATCTGTAAAATAGGATAATAAAAACAGTAGGGCCATTAAAAGGTTTAGAGAAAATGTTTGCAAAATGTTGTGTATAATACCTGTCACTTTGTAGGTTCTTGGTAAATTCACTTGATGTTGTCGTTGTAAAGGACTTAGTATTATACCTGGTTCAGACTAGGCACTGGGAACTGCTAGTTCTAGTTCCCATCTTTGTCCTCCTAGACATCTTAAATAAATATGGAGAGCAGCAACTTGATCATCTAAGCCAAATACTATCATGACCATTATGATGTGGTCCCCAGCATTTCCTTAATGAGCTGTCAGCGGAGGCAGGCAGCTTCAATACACATTAGGCCAAGGAACCTATTCCTTCTTGGGATCAGCTCGTCATCTAACATAAGCAAGGGTGATGCAGATAAACAGAGATACAAATTGAATGCTTGCAGAATGATAAAACAGAAACAAAATTGTTTGTAACCCAGTTTAAGCAGAGCACCATGTGGAATACAAAAGACAAATGAATGCCAGTTTTGCACTTCTGTAGTTTTCAATCTGGCAGGGGGCAGCTAGTATACCAGTAACAATTTCATACATGTTTTAAAATGTAGGTTTTATTATTCACATATGACAAATGATTGGCATCGAAAGATAGTTTGTTACATTTCCCCAGAGTAAGTGGCACAACACACAATGCAGGGCCACATGGGGAAACACTAGGATCAGTCAGGAGGCAGAGAGAGGAAAAAACGTGGACAAGAGCCTTTTTGTGGCTTCCATGGAAAGAAATGGGTTAAGCAGGATAAGCAGCTTTAAGGTTGGCTAGTTAAACATAGAGTTGCTACTAGTTGTCTGATACCTGGGCCTGGGTGATTAGGGCAGGGAATGGTAGCCTGGAAGGTAGAAGCTCTATAAAGGAGGTGGTTGGCTTAATGGGATCTGGGTTGGTTTCCATGTAAAAGATGTGCTTTCAGGGGTGAGTCCTTTACTATTTTTAGGAATTGACTAGCCCTGGGAAGGGCAGTCCCTGTAAGGTCAGCAAGACTATGAGAGCAGAGAAGATGCACAGGCGTTCTCCAGCTTTGGATGTGGAGACAGCTTGATGGATGAGATGTGCTGTGTTCTTTTATCTGTTGGTCAGCCAGGCGCTGTCACGTGAGGAGACACAAGAGAGGCTCAGGAAAACAGTTTATTATACTCACAGGTCCTAGCAGCAGGAGGTATGCTGGCCACACAGGGCCACATGGGAAAGCAACAGCATTGGGCAGGAGCGAGGGGAAGGCCTAGGCTACCACGTTTATTGGGGTTTCCATGGTCAAGGCGAGGCAGACTGGATAAACAGTTTAGGATTCCCTGGTTTCAATAATTTCAGTGGGCTCTAAGCTGTTGAGGAGGTCCCTAGCTACCTGGTACCTGGCCCTGAGATGATTAAAGCAGAAGAATATTGATTGCTTCCTGGGGTACAGGCCAGATAGTGGAGGCCTGGCTCTGGATTGGTTAGTTTGCATATCAAAGACATGCAGCTGAGCCATTTGCTGTCTGAGAAGTGGCCAGCCCCACAAGGGCAGTCTCTCCCCAGCCAGAAAGGTTTTTAAGATGTCAAAACATCACAACATACTGAAAATTTTAAAATATAAATAATATGGATGTAAAGATGCAGAGATGAGGTATAGGGGAATGCCAAGCATGAATTGTATTGTCAGTAAAGGCCCAGAGAAAGGGAGCATTTGGTCTATCTAGGTAAGTGCTCATAGTCCAATTTGGTTAAAGTATATATTATAGTATGTAAGAACTTTAGAAATGAGAATTGAATTCTACATAGAACTTGGGAATTATGGGAAAGGTGTGATTGAATTAGCCCTATTTAAGAAAGTTCCATTTCTAGCAGTAGGGTGACTGCATCTGGGGCCATATCCAAGTAAAAACAGTAAGGAACATTAGTTCATGCTCAAGTCAAAAGGAAATCGCTAACCTGCTGTCCACCGCATCAAGCTTCTCTGTCCTTGACCTCTTGCACTTCCTTACTGATCTGTCGTCGTTGTTTAGGGTTGGGTTGTTTGTACTGTTGATTTTGTCTCTTAGTTGTTGTTCCTGCTGCTGCTGTTCTTTTAAATTAGAAGTGGCCACTGCAGTGCCTACCCTAGAAGTTTGAAAGATGGGTCTGTTTTGTAAAGGCAGACACAGGGAGACACCCCATTCCACAGAAACGATGATCTGTTTATTTCAATGACTCTAGAAAAACAGATCCTAGTGTTTTTCTTTTCACAAACCCACATTTAAATAAATGAAAAGTGAAAAAATAAATGAAGTAACCTTATTGATAGTTTGAGAATATGTATTATTTTAACCAGACACTAATAGAGATTGATGTAATTATTCATCTTTAGCCACAGTAGTGTGTGTGGTTTTTGTTTTTTTTTTTTTATTTCACTGCTTTAGCTATGGTTAGAGAACAGGCTAGAGATGAACATTTTGGCATCTTTTAAGTCCTGTTTCTGGTGTGAGTGTCTAAAGAGCTGCAGTTATTTCTGAGATGAAAATCAAGTGTCCATTGTTTTGTAGAATAAATACCTTCTTGACCAATTGCCTGTAAAGTAAATCCTAATATATCAAATTCTATTTTTCCATTAGTTTGTTATAAAATTAGAAATGTTTTTCTGAAATGTTTGAGAAATAAGTCATATTTAATGATCTACCTAATGTTTTAACATACATATTTAAGATGAAAAAATTTTCTTATGAAGTATTAGTACTGCTCAAAATGATCCTTTAAGTATATGCAAAATAACTGATTTTGCTTTTATGAAGATTTAAAAAAAAAGAACTTAAATGAAAAATAAACACACATGAAAGAAAAAAATTACTGAGCTATATATATTTATTCCTTTCATATATGTTCATTAAGTAACTGATAGGTGCTAAATTCTCTGTATTAGGAATCCAAAATAAATTGAAATTTGGCCTGTGTCCTTGATTTTTTTCATAGCCTGATAAAAAGAAGGTGTCATATAAACAAACACATTTACATTATGACGCGCTAAGTGCTCAATAGGGGAATGAGATTGTGCTATACAACAGGAGAGACCAACTTTGCTTTCACAGAGAAAATGACATCTCAGCAGGGTTTTGAAGGGTGAGTAGGAGTTTAGAGTAGTGAGGAAGAGCACAGACTCTGTAGCTGGACTTCCTGGTTTAAATCCTGGCATTACTTGAATGATCTTGGGCAAATTACTTCCTTCATTTTGTCATCTGTAGAACTGGGACAATATTTGTAGCTAGCTACATAAGCGGCTGTTATGAAGAGTTAATACATGGAAAGAACTTAGATCACTGTTGAGCATGGTAAGGGCTCAATACATGTGCTGCTGTTGTTCTGTCATTAAGAAAGAGAGGCATGTTGCAAGCAGAGGGAATAGCATGCTACATTTTTTATCCTGTAAAAAGTCCAAAATGCTGCCTAGTTAATGGCTTTTACAAATGAGCGATTTAACGCAAGATGTAGAAAAGAAATGAAAGTAGAGTAGAACCATTCAGAATAGAGCCACAGAGACTCTGATTGATAAGGAGGAGAAAAGTTGCCATGCATCAGGGGTCTACTTCATGACACACTCTTGTGACAGGCACTTCAGGTTGTCACTGAGTTGTTACCTGATGCACAGGAAGTCCCTTTTCCATACTGGAGAATAGGTAGTGAAATGGTGACAATTGAAGAATGAAATCCCTTGACTGCAAGACACCAACCCGGGAGGCCCCAAGAAACTATTAATACTATGGACATTATCACATTAATTTAAGGCACAGTAGCACCCCCTACCTGCTCAAAGAGTATCCTTTCTCTGCAAAGTTTTGTAAAAGATATTTATGTTATGTTAATAGATATTTTTAAAGCCCCTGAGTTAGGGAAGTTATGTAGGATAACCATTAAAATTATGGAGGATATCACTTGCTGAAAATAAGTTAATTGGCCAGTAAAGGGTTACTTATTAAGGTTTCTATATCAGGATGAGGAAAGTAGAAAATACAGTGCAGACTTATATAAAATCAGAATGGAAGACAGAACCTACAAGCTGCCTCCTTTTCCCATGGATGTTAATAATCACCAAATTAGCTAAAACTTGAAAGTCATTGACTTCACAATTAACAACAGGTGAGGGAAGCAAGCCTTTCTGAAATCCTGGCTTGGATAGGCACATCATGATTATTTTGGTAATTGGCTCCCTGGCTTACAAATGCTGCAAAAGGATTTGTTTTATGTATTGAGTTACTATTTAATCAGACATGCCTATGCTTCTTTCTTTTGTGTATATGTGAATTAGGAAATCAAGGAGAAATTGGATTCCAGTCATAAGAGAGATATAGAAGGCATGGGCCTTCCAGAGATCAAGTATGGAGATTCCGTCTGCTTTGTCCAGCATGTAGCCAGTGGTCTGTGGGTGACGTACAAAGCACAAGATGCCAAGACACCCCGGCTGGGACCTCTGAAAAGAAAGGTGAGACCTCAGAAGGTCTGGCTATAATTGTTTTACACTGAGTTGGAAGCAAGTAGTCAGTAGAAGTGACTCTGAGAATCAGGTGAACATGATTATATATTATTTCTTACTATTCCGAAGAGTTATTCTGTGAAAGATTGTACACAGTTCCTCTATTACGTCAGCCTAATTTGGTTACTGTGGCCCTATATTCAATGGAGAAAAAAAAAAACCAGTTGAATATATAGCAAATCTGTGAAGAGGAGGTGGCATTTGTTTAACGCATTCTAAAACCTGCTGTAAATGACTTTTGGTGGTTTGCTGTCTTGGGATTATCCACATCATTGCTCCCTTCATTTAAATGGATAATTGAGTTATTGTGCAGTTTTCATAATATAGAGACTTAAATTTCTATTCTCTACAGAGAAAATGCCAATTGCATAATAACAAACCCACAGGAACTGACGTGCAGAAAGAAATGTCGTGGAATGATGCCATATCCACAGAGAATGTATTCAGATCTTAGTGGTGCATCGCAGCCTGCTACAGTGGGAAACCAGCTTGAATACATGCAGCATCTTTTTACCAGAAAATGAATTGCCATAGTAATGTTTCTTTTGATAGGAACCAGAGAATGGATGCCAAGGGTGTGATGCTTTTTTTCTTGAAAAACCCTTACAAAATACAGGTTTGGATAGTTAGGGGGTCCCAGGATAATGTTCTAGGAGGCAACATACACTGTAGTTAAGATATATCATCCTAATGTGGTAATGATGAAAAGTTTCCCAGAATATTGGTTATTTAAGAAAGAATATTGGGAACAAACATAGGACGATAGCTGAGTTTTGCGTAAAGCAAAACATACTAGGAAAATATCTAGAAAAGGGAAAATGAAATGATGAAGAGAGGATAGAAAATAGAATAAGAGGTCATATGGACTAGCTTGTATGAGCCCATCCCTTCCTCTGAAAACAACTGCTAAGGCTGGATAAAACACAAAACAAAAAACAACAAAACAAACCATTTTAAGATTTCAACAACCAAGCCCCCAGGACATGAGTGCTAAAGATCACACGTAGAATGTCAGTGCACTAAGGTGAGCCTGCCTTCATCTCTGTTCTTCCCTTCAGCACATTTGCTGATTTGCAGAGCTAGGGCGGGGGCGGGGGGGTCTTTTGTTAGCTCCACTGTGCTGGAAAGACAGAATAGACATAGGGTCAGCCAAGGTTTCTGGGACTTGAGGGGCCAAGAGTCCAGAGTTGGGGGAACTATAGAAACGTGAGCCTGAACTTCCACATGCAGTTTCCTCTGGCATCCTAAGCTGCCCATAGACAGAATGTGAAGCCAAGGCAGCGAACAGAAAGCTGCAGCTATGACAGAGAAGAGCAAAGCAGCAACGTTGACGCCATGACAGCACTAGGGACACATAAGTTGAGGTTCAGGGTTTCAAAGTCCCCCTAGAAAATACAGTAGGTTTTCAGTTGAATCCCAGAAGGGCTGCACCTGAGGAGTGAGGGCTACACCCTGGGAATAGGGCAAATTGAAATTAAATGCCAAAAACCCATCCTCCACCAGAAGAAAACTAAATCTTCTGTAGAGTACAGTAATATCATGTAGAGTCTCTACAGTTTCTCAAACCTACTAAGGCAATGATAACATTTAAAGAAAGTGGAATTTGTGGATCTTGACTGTGACTCTGGGTGGGAAGGGACACATCCCAAGGGCTCTGTCAATGTGGAAAGATTCCAATTTGCATTGTTGATTTATTGTGCCTGTCCCTGCCTTTCTCGTCCAGGACCATAGCCTATGGATCCATTTAACTGTTAGACCATGCATGTGAATTTGGGGAGGTGCTTTCGAAAACTCTCTCTAAATGGTGTCATAATGTTCAGCCCTTGACAGGCCTACACTGCTTCATTTCATAAGGAGCAGGTTAAGTTCTCTCTCTCTGAAAACACAAAGGATGTCCAAATCTGTGTTAAGCATTTTATGAAATGAATAGAACAGTAATTTAGAAAAAACAGTGGCGAACACACACAGTGAAAACCTGGATAGTACCCACTGTACAGGAAGCTGCCTCTTTCCCATCCCCACTGTGGGCTGCTCCTCTCTGTTCTTGGATGTGGGATTCCTGGGAGAGAGAAAAGACTTTGGGAACTGAGCTGCTGAGATCAGCAGGGCTCGTGATAACAACATTCTAACAGTTGCATGGCACCCGGTTTTCATTGCTTTCTTGTTTGGCTGGCCAGTTCGAATGTGTTATCTGAACAAGCAAAACTTGTGGATTTTGGTCTTTAGGGACCAGAAATCTGAAACTGAGGCTAAAGTAAACACAGTGGCAATGTACTGCTAAATCCAAATGCAACACTGTCAACCAGGAGGATCTGACAAAGTAATATTTTATAGCAGTCAGTGAATCCCATGATAAGGGCATCCTTCGCTAAGCTTACACTGCACTATATAGGTGGGATGTAAAGTCTTTTTTCAAAAATGAACATAAGTTTTTGCAAGCCTTTATTCTCCTTCCTATGTGAATTCATTCTATCTGGAAATGCCTTCAAAAGAAAAAATAAGCAAGAGATTTTTTACATGGAAAGGAAAACAAGTTGTTTCTTTATGATCAAAATGAGAAAGAACCGAAAATCTTTATTCTAAAGACATTTTTTGGAGCCACACCTTTCATTTACATCGAACTGACTTCTAGGACCTATAAATTGTCTCTATTCACTTATTCCCCCGTCAAAAGGAAAGCATGCCAGAGAACTTGAATCAAGATCTGACCCTGACTTGAACCAGGGTCAAACCATCTCACTTAACATCATCACATACTTGATCCTTTTACAGGAAAAAGCTACTGACCTCCACACCAAAAGCTGCTAGACCTACTCCAAAATCGTATCATGATATCCTTAGTGGTCAATAAGTATGCTTAGCTTCAGATAACTGATCTAAGATCAGTACTATACTGCCCCTTATAATAAGCGTTCACTGAGCACCTATTGTATTCTAGGAACCATGCCAAATGATTTACCTGTAAATCATCTAATCCTCCAAACCACTCTGTAAGATAAGTCTATTTGCAGATAGTGAAATCAAAAGCAAAGAAGGGTTAAGTAACTTGCCCAAGGTCACACAGCTGGTAAGTGGCATAGCAGGATTAGAACAAAGGTCTGCTCTTGCCTCCATGGTTGCTTCTCTATCACCTCACGCTGCTGTCCTCAGTCCTACAGTTAACTCCCCAGTGTAGCTGTCCTGCAGCAGAGAAACCCAAGCCTGATCCCAGTGGAGAGTTTTGCTGTAAATTATCTGTCGTCTTCTCCAATTTATCTCTGGAGGAAAAGGTTCTGAACAAAGTCACTTTTCCCATCTCCAAGGATAAGGTTCCATGTTCATTTTAAGAGAAAAATCTATTAGAAAGTATGTTTTCACCCTTTGAAATTGGCCATCTAGGCCCAAGGAATTTATCGTGACTCATACCACGGTAGCACATAAAATTTCATTTTCATCTAAGCTCCATGTCTCAGGAATGGCTCATCTGGCAGTAATAGGGCAACTGAGTGAAATAACTCTGTTAATGTCAACTTTCAAAATGGCCCCAGGGGGGCTTGGTTGGAGAGAGGAGTGAGAGAGATGAGGGAAATACTGCAGGAAATGCTGACTGCCAGCTGTGGAGTGGTACGTAACCTGGACCTGCTGTCCCTTCCCCTGTGGGTAGGTCATACTCCATCAGGAAGGCCACATGGATGATGGCTTAACACTGCAGAGATGCCAGCGGGAGGAGTCCCAGGCTGCTCGGATCATCCGGAACACGACAGCCTTGTTCAGCCAGTTTGTCAGGTACGTTAGCGCCTTCCCTTTCTCTACCTGGCAGTTTTTACTCTGTCTGGCCTTCTAACCCCATCCATGAACCTCCTTTTGATACTATTAGTATTTTCAGGAAAAAGTTAAATGCCAGCAAAGAGTTTTACCAGAGACAACTTGAGACTGAAACTTAGTTCCTACATAGGTGACCTCCTACTAGCTTTGCTCTTTGCCCAACAAATCCCTAAGCCCCATCGGTTATTTGGGTTGCTGTGATGAATACCCAAGGTCTTTGCACAAAAATTAAGTGGAACGAGCTAGAGCGCTCGGATCCCCTTTGTATTAGTATGTAAAGAGAGAAGGAGTGAGGAGAAACTGATCCATACCCTGTGTGCCGTTTAGAAAGGGTTTCTACGTCATTTCAGAATTGTTGCTATGGTTTGGATCAAAGTGGATTTGCATTGGAAGCTTTGGGTTACCCAACTGTGGCTGGGACTTAAATGAGAAAAGGAACAGAACTGCCTGCTTGGATTGTAATCCCCCCAGCCTAAAAATGCTGCCAGAACAGCTCTATGAATTGTTTTCACCAATTACCATGAGAAACGGATTCTGTTGAAAGCCGTGCAGTGTTCCAAGCCATTCTTCCCTTGTAGGAAATTATCTCTAAAGCCAAGAGGGTATCAATTGCATGTGTGAATTTGTATGAAATGAGAACTTTTTTTATAGCTCTACTTGTTGAAAGACTGCAATCCAAGGGATGTGTATCAGTTAGGATATAGCCTAAGCTTCTGTTGCAGTTCAGAATAAACTTTTGCTTCTCTTTTAAGTAACAAGGTAGAGTAGACAGGTGGCTTAGGGAAAATAGGGCAGCCCAGGTACTGGGGCTCAGCTTCCTTCTACCTTTCTGTCCTAGCATCTCCTACACATTCTTAAAGTATGTTTCTGGACCAGCACATCAGCATCATCTGCAAACTTGTTAAAATGCAGATTCTCAGGTTTTATACCAGACTACTACTTACTCTTGGGAGTAAGATCCATCAAATCATATTTTATAGGCCCTCCAGGTGATGCTGATACATGCTAATGTTTAAAGACCACTGTGCTGGGTTAGAGATCTTAACCTTGGCCACATGTTAGATGCATCTAGGGAGCTTTTAATACCCAAATTTTGAGGCTGTATCTCAAACCAATTGCATCAGAATCTCTGGAGGTGGGATCCAAATTGCTAGTATTTTATTAAAGCTCTCTAGGTGTGATTCTAACATTCAGCCACAATTGAGAACTGCTGTCCTGGTACATTTTCTTCAAATAGCTTATTACTAACACCATGTCTGAGGACTGTCCTGCAAAAGGGGGAAACTGAGGGAACCTGAGAAATATATCTCTGGCTGGCTGGCTGGCTGGCTATGTACCTAATACAACTTGGAGGTTCCCTTACTAAAATTGGAGAAAGGAGAATGGATAGTAGAAGTATTCCTGCCACATGATGAAACTGAGATTTGCAAGTCTTTTGCCTACTTTTGGCTCTGCCACTGGTTTCCTGTGATCTCTGAGCAAAATTTTTCCTTCCTTCCTTTCTGTCTCGTTACTTCCAGAACCTGCTTCTCTTCTTCAAAGAAAGGCTATAAGCATGATTGCCTTAGTGTAGGCAGAAAAAGATACCTGCATGCAAGCATGAATTTTTCATGTAGTCTTGACTAGCACCAAGATGATCACCCTCTAGGTGGATGGGTTTGTCTGTCCCCCAATTCTCTCAACTTCTGCCCTTAAATCTTTTGTGAAAGTCAGTGTCCCCTACCTCACATGTATATAAAAGTTAATTCAAAGTGGATCAGAGACCTAAATGTGAGACCTAAAACTATAAAACATGTAGAAGAACACATAGGCCTAAATTTTCATGATCTTGGATTAGACAGTGGTCTCTTAAATATGATACTAAAAGCAAAAGCAACAAAAGAAAAAAATGAATTGAACTTTGTCAAAATTTAAAATGATTTGCTGCAGGGCTCTATCAAATGAGTGAAAAGACACCCCACATAATGGAAAAAAAAGTTGCAACCCATATATCTGATAAGGGATTTATATCTAGAGTAAAGAATTCTTAAAACTCAACAATGAAAAAGACAAAACTTTAAAAATGGACAAAAAGATCTGAATAGACATTTTTCCCAATAAAATATGCAGATAACCAATGAACACATGAAAAGATATTCAGCATCATTAGCCATCAGGAAATGTCAACCAAAACCATAATTAGATACCACTTTACACCCACCAGGATGGCTATAATCAAAAAGATTGTTACTAACTAGTGTGGGAGAAGATGTAGAGAAATGGAACCCTCATACACTGCTGGTAGGAACGTAAAATGTTGTGGCCACTTTGGAAGACAGTCTAGATGTTCATCAAAAAGTTAAACATAGAGTTACTACATGACCCATCAGTTTTACTCCTAGGTATATGTGCAGGAGAAGTGAAAACACATGTCCACACAAAAACTTGTACACAGATGTTTATAGCAGCATTATTCATAATAGCCCAAAAGTAGAAATGACCCAGATGTCCATCAGCTGATAAATGGATAAATAAAATGTGCTATATCGGCCAGGTGCGGTGGCTCACGCCTGTAATCCTAGCATTCTGGGAGGCCGAGGCAGGCGGATTGTTTGAGCTCAGGAGTTCGAGACCAGCCTGAGCAAGAGCGAGACCCCCGTCTCTACTAAAAATAGAAAGAAATTAATCAGACAACTAAAAATATATAGAAAAAATTAGCCGGGCATGGTGGCGCATGCCTGTAGTCCCAGCTACTCGGGAGGCTGAGGCAGAAGGATTGCTTGAGCCCAGGTGTTTGAGGTTGCTGTGAGCTAGGCTAATGCCATGGCCCTCTAGCCCAGGCAAAAGAGTGAGACTCTGTCTCAAAAAAAAAAAAGTGCTATATCCATACAATGGCTACTATATTTGGCCATTAGAAGGAATGAAGTACTGGTACATACTACAATATAGATGAACCTTGAAAACTTTATGTTAAGTGAAAGAAGCAAGTCACAAAAGACCACATAGTGAATGATTTCATTTATGTGAAATGTCCAGAATAGGCAAATCTATGAAAACAGAAAGTAGATTAGTGATTACCTAGGGCTGGGGCATTTCGGGGGAAAGGGAGAGTGACTGCTAATGTGTATGGGGTTTTATGGAGGGCTGATAAAATAAAGTTCTAAAACTGATTGTAGTGATGGTTGCACAACTCTGTGACTATACGAAACCAGGAAACCATTTAATTGTACCTTTTAAATAGGTGGTGCTGTGATATGTGAATTATATTTCAATAAAGCTGTTATTTGCAAAGTCAGTGAGAGTTACATGCCTGACAATGGGAAGATTATTTTTAAACAGCTTTATTGAGGTAGAATTTACATATCATAAAATTCATCCTTGTAAGTGTACAGTTCAGTGAGTTTTAATATATTTACAGAGCTGTACAACCATCACCACAATTCAATTTTAGAACATTTCTATCACCCCAAAAATATCTCTCTATGCCCACTGCAGTTTATTCTAGTTGCCACCCCCAGGCCTAGGCAACCACTAATCTGCTTTTTGTCTCAACTTAATGCATTAAATTGATAATCATAAAATATATTGTCTTTTGAATATGGCCTCTTAGCATTATATTTTTGAGGTTTATTCCTGTTGTTCAGTCCCTTTTTTATTGCTGAAGCGTATTCACGCATGCGCGCGCGTGTGTGTGCGTGTGTGTGCGTGCGTGTGTGTGTGTGTGTGTGTGTGTGGAGAGAAAGGCAGATCGATATTATAGATATAGATGCACACTTATCACATTGTGTTTATTCATTCATCAATTTAACAGTTGGTTGTTTCCTGTTTCAGTTATTATGAGTAATTCTATGGATTTTAGTGTAAAAGCTTTCAGATATGTTTTCATTTCTCTTGGGTAAATTGGAGTGGAATTGCTGAGTCATATGTAAATTTGTGTGACTTTTTAACGTATCTTTTATGGTGGTAAAATATACATCACATAAGAGTTACTATTTTACCCATGTTTAAGTTCAGTGACATCACCACTATCCATCTGCAGAGTTTTTTTATTGTTCCAAACCGAAATGCTGTACTTATTACTACACAGTAACTCCCCATTCTCCTCTCCCTTCGGCCTCTGGTAACATCTATTCCACTTTCTGTCTCTATGAATTTTATTCTAGGAACCTCATACAAGTGGAAACATACAATATTTGTTGTCTTTTTGTGTCTGGTCTGGCTTGTTTTGCTTAGCAAAATGTCTTCAAGCTTTATCCCTGCTGTCGTGTGTATCAGAATTCCATTCCTTTTTAAGGTTGGATAATATTCCATTGTATGCAAAGACCGCATTTTGTTTACTCATTCATCCATCAGTGGACATTTGGGTATGTTTAACTTTTTAAACTGAAAAACTGTTTTCCAAAGTGGGTGTCCCATTTTAAAGTCCCCTCAGAAATGTATGAAATTCCAGTTTCTGCACATCCTTGCCTATGTTATTATCAGATTTTTTGATTATTGCCATTCTAGGGCATATGAAGTGGTATGTCATAGTGGTTTTAATTTGCATTTCCAGAATGGAATAATAATATTGAACATCTTTTTGTGGGCTTATTAGCCATTTGTATATCTTCTTTGGTAAAATTTAATTAAGTGTTTTGCCTTTTTAAAATGGGGTCATTTGTCTTCAAATGGAGTTGAGAGTTCTTTGTATCTTCTGGTTACAAGTTCTTTACCAAATTTATGATTTGCAAATATTTTCTCCCAGTCTGTGGCCTTTCTTCTCACTTTGAATGATATTTTTTGAAACACAAAAGTTTTTATTTTTGATTCAGTCCAATTTAACATATTTGTTCATGAGTTGTGCTTTTAATGTCATGTCTAAGAACTCTTTACCTAACCCAGCGTCACCAGGATTTTCTCCTATTTTTTCTAAAAGTTTTAGAATTTTAGCTATTACATTAAGGTCTGTGATCCATTTTTAGTCCATTTTTGGGCATGATATG